GAACAAGCAAGAACAGCGCTTTGTGATTGTACAGTTTTACTAATTCTTTGCATTGTGGAAGTCAGTGTTCAGGCGATTGCACAAGTCCTGATGCAAAAAGGGTTTAGGGTTTAGGGGTTTAGGTTTTTGGGGCTTGGAGTTTAGGTTTTACATAAGGTTTAGTGTTTGGGGCTTAGAGTTCAGCAGGGATCACGTTGTGGCTGCGTGCTGTCTTACTTGTAGTGAGCCCAATTTGGAAAACTTTAAACCCTAAACCCCTAAACCCTAAACCCCTAAACCCTAAACCCTATAAACCCTAAACCCCTAAACCCTAAACCCTAAACCCTATACGCCCTAAACCCTAAACCGAAAGGGCTTTCAGGGAGTTTGGGAGTCGGCCGCGGCCCCCGGCCAATTGTGAGGAGGCTTCCACGTTAGGAACATTTGGGGCGTGATGTAGCATGGTCTAATGACTGTAGGGGCCTTAATAATTACCTATACTTTTTTTTTTTTGGGGGGGGGTCCTTATTAGAATTATAGCATAATACGCCCCAAAACCTTATACTAATTATTAAGACCCCTATATTACTTCTGGATAATCAGAACGGTCAAGTCAGGTGCACAAGCTCCCACATGACTAGCGACGAGTAGTTGAGGATGACAGTGCTCAACCGGGAGGTCTATCCGGAGCCAATTCCGCCTTGCCAAACTACTGGGGCTCAAAAATCGCCCTGAGTCTAAATCCTAAAGCATAAACCTTAACCCGTCAAGCCCTGCACGACCATAAGAGCTTTCGGAAATGTATAAGTCCACACACCACCCTCTTTTACAACCCCGTGCATACACACACACACACGTAGATGTACACATATGAATGCACACATATATATGTATATGTGTGTGTATATATTTATACTACTGGCAGGCATGCATGCATGCATACCTACCTACATGCATACATACAGACAGAGACACACACACACACTCATACATACAAACATACAAACATACATACATACATACATACATACATACATACATACATGCATATATATATACATTTATATTTATATGTATGTATATAGGTATAGATGTATAGGTATATGTATAGGTATCAGCTGATGAAAGACTGAGGTGGTTGGTGTTGTCTCGACCGTGGCACTATACCTGCTGCTGACCTTCTTCCTGCTGAACGTCTTCGTCACGATGCGAAGCGGCACTACGGTGCTCTAAACCCTAAACCCTAAACCCCTAAACCCTAAACCCTAAACCCCTAAACCCTTAACCCCTAAACCCTAAACCGTAAACCATGGCTTAGGACCTGCAAAGCGGGTTCCCGGGGCTTAGGGCGTGCGGCTTCGAGCTTTTGGGGCTGAGAGTCGGCAGAAGCAAAAGACAAGTTGGATGGCACCTAGAGGGTCATACCCTACACCTTTTTTAAGGTACCTAGTTTTATGGTTAGCACCTGTTATATAAAAATGTATGTCCCCTAAAAAAGGGGTAGGGTATGACCCTAGAGGTAGTTGAGGGTTGGTACGGCTGATGGTATAAATCGCGCATCACCCGTAATAAGGAAGATACCATAGTTCCCATGGTTTAGGGTCCTTAAGGTAATGCAGGATTTGTATCATCAACAGTATAGCTCAAAAGGCAGTATATATAGTAAAGTGCAGTATGATACAGAGAAACGACCAGGCAACCTAATATGATGCTTTCATATAGCAGAACATAATGTAAGATAGCATAATATCATGCTATATCAGCTCGCACGACATGATATGGTATGTCACAGCATGGGATAGATTGTACTATACGAATATGACCAAATCCTAAACCCTTGACCCTTAACCCTGAGGTGACATTTCGAGCTGAGGGGCAGGGTCAACTTGTCAGGATTTGCAGTTGGCTATAGACCCAAAGCTGTAAACCCTATGTTGTGGGCTTTTGGGATCGTGGTTACTGCAAGGGTTTACCGTTCAGGCTTTAGTAATTTAGTGTTTGGGGTTCTAGGTGTCGGTTTTCGTTTGGAGTCTACGATGTTGGCTCACCGCAAAACTCGCTTTCTTCTCCGGCTGGTGGTGAGTTCAGGCAATGCTTTTTCTGAGCATTGGGTTCAGGGTTTAGGGTTCGGCGTTTAGGGTTTAGGATACTGTTCGCGGTTGTCCTGCATCCTTTGTACTCAGTGGAAACATGCATCGAGACCGATACTTTCAAAAGCAACGTACATGCCGACTTGAGAACAGCACCCGCCAAGGATTTTCGTGGATGCTTACTATGTGGTTCGCCTAACCTCAACGCAGCCCTCGGAGAAGTGGGACGGGCAGCACTTGGGACAGCATTGGTTTGGTGGTTCCGGGCACAAAGTTTAAGAGAGACACTCCTGAACCCTAAACGTCATCATTTCCGACGGTAGTGGCTGGGATATGGTCTAGGGCTAGGGTTTGGCGCATTGTTCCAGTGCTTAAGCTTTGGGTGTTTGTCTCAGATCTAGGCTCAGTCTGGTTTTGGTTTCGAGGTCTTTGCCTGTCGTGACCCCCCTCCCCCTTGTCTCTCTCTCTCTCTCTCTCCTCACTCCCTCTGTCCTCACTCTCTCTCTCTCTCTCACCTCTCGCTGTGTTTGTACTCTCTGAAGCTCTGACCTTGGTTCGACAAAAGCGCTCATGCCCGAGCCTTACCCCCGAACCCTAAGGCGCCACAACAGCGCAGGTACATAGACAGCGGAAAGACCTACCTTTTTAGGGCTCCTTATTATGATTTCTTTTTATAGTTCCTTACAGAGGTAGGTCTTTTCGGTACAGGAAGGCCTTCAAAGTTGTGAGCCTTGGCCTTGTACTCTGAACAACCCTCAAACCTTCTGCAGGGGCCCTGTTCTGCTTGATGCCCCATGCAGTTCCCAGAGAGTCCAATACCCCTTAATTAAGGAAGAGACCTTAAATTATTGGGGTCTTAATATTATGATTTAAGGTTTATTCCTTAATTAAGGGGTATTGGGCTCTCTGGGTTTTCATGTTCAGTTGAAGCCAAAAGATATCTCAGACAGGAAAGACGCTGCGTACTCTGCTGCAAATAACCCTAAAACCGAAAACCTAAACCCCTCAACCCTAGGCCCTACACCCCTGAATATCCTTGTTACAGCAACTTAAACTGTCCTCGGAGCCCTTTCGAATCCTGATGAGCCCAACAATACGTCGCACGACTCTACAATGCCCATATGAAGACCCTTAAACCCTAGCAACCTTTATGAAGTTCCTTACTGTAACCCTAAAACTCTAAAGCGGCAACCCCTAGACCTTGAAACCCCAAAGAGGATACTGCTCCTTAAGGACCAATATGTACCCCGTTAATTAAGGAATATACCTTAAATCATAATATTAAGGCACTGATCATTGAAGGCATATTCCTTAGTTAAGGGGTCTTGGGCTCTCTGGGAAAAGCCCCGCTGCCCAAGATTTCAGGCGCATCCGGACCTGGGCATTGCCAGGAGTGTGTGTCAGCATCTTCCAGGCGAGCATGGGCCAATTTTGGGGATCTTCGGGTGTATAGTTTAGTGCTTTAATATAGGGGCCTTAAGAATTAGAATAGGGTTTGGGGTATATTCGACTATAATTAGAATAAGAAACTATTCTAATCATTAATGCCCCTACATTAGGCGAACATGGCGGTATGGGTTTTCACAAGTAGGGGTTCGGGTTGGGTTTAGGGCTAGAGATCGCCAGCGATGACGCCACAAACAAGTATCGTTGCTGTGCTTTAGTGTTCTTAGAAGGCGGATAAACTGCATCTAGGCGCCCCAAACCTCGCAGTACCTCAACCCCTCGATATTCGCCCCAGCCCAAAGTCTGTCTGTAAACTGGTTTTGGCCTGGCCGACCCCCTTGGTGTCCATGCCGTTCCTGCGCCTTGTATCACCACCTCCACACCCTGCTGACCCCCTATCCTACAAACTTGCTGTTTTCGGTTTTTGTTGGTCCCAACCCCGTAAGGCTCTCCAGGTGTAGGCTTCATGCGAAAACCCTTATTCAATCGGCCCTACAGCCTAAAACTCTACCTGGACCCTCAAGCTTTGGGTTCCTTATGACGCCTCCTTATAACCCGGAGAACCCAATACCCCCTAATTAAGGATAAAATACCTTAAATCATAATAATCAGAATATTAAGACCCCTATTATTTAAGGTCTATTCCTTAATCATGGGTTCTCTGGGAAGTCCGTGAAACGGTAGGTTCTTCAGTGCCCAAGTAAGCCCGAGGAATCCTCACTCTGTAAAAAACCGGTCAGGGCTCTGTAGGAGGACAGGTGTCCAGCTTCCACTGCTCGGGATATGGGGTTTAGAATTTAGGAGTTTAGGATTTAAAGCCTAGGGTTTAGGATTTGGGGTTTCAGGGGATTTAGGGTTTCGGCGGGTACCCAGACCTTCCAATCTGATTTAAAGGGCATCCCTTGATTAAGGGCAATTGGAAGGTCATTGGAAGGTCTGGGTAGTTCCTGCCAACCTTCAGGGATCAGACAGGTTTTTACCTTGAGTTGCAAGGATTCTGATTTAGCGCTTGAGGTTTAGAGTGCATTACAATACATTGCGGTGCTACAGCGCAGACTATTTGTGGCAGTTCGAAGTATGGTTTGGTGCTGCGTTTTGTTGAGTTTCCTGGGAATTCAACTAGGCACTGAGGAGTTAAGGCCTGTACCGTCAGGAGAAGGTGCCTGCATTTTGTGTTGTGTCCTTCTTTGTCTAGGGTTCTGTTTGTTGCTTCTCTCCTTGTTCTCTTGCGGGTGGCAAATATCCGAAAGCACAACAATGATCTGTGTTTTCTTGTTCGCCGTCCTCTGTCTGAGTGAATGTTAGGTCTGTTAGATCCTTTTGGGCTAGATCTGGGTTTATGTGAGAACCTTCAACCTGGGTTGGTTCGGGTAGGTTACGACAAGTCCCCAACGCCTTCGGTGGCACAAGCTTGCGAAGGCGATCCTCTCTGCAGGTGAGTCAGAAAGTAGGGACTAAGTCTCGACATAGATTTCGAGGACCGAGCCTGAGCCGAGCACACGTTTTGGTTCTTAAGGTTCTTTGTTTCATCCCGTTTCACAGAGGGCAAGCCCCGGCAATTACAGGACTTTGAAACCCCGATGTATAGGCTTAGATCATCAATGAGCAGTGTTATCCGTTTGGGTTATATCATTAAAGCACCCCTCTAATTGCTAAGGCCCCTGCATGATGACAAGACACAAGCCCGAACCACAACCCGGAACCCTCACACATGGCAATGAGTTGCTGGGGTTTAAGTCGCCCGATCCTTTCTTGTTGTGAAGATCTAGCATTGAATTCAGCATCCGAGCCATGCGTTGGTGTGTCATGGATTGCAAACCAAAGTAGAAGGATTGGGGAGTAGATGTAGTCTCCATTGTAGTTCCTTGTTTGGTTTACCCGTTTTATATTTAGGATCCTATAAGGTAACCCAAAGAAAAGGACTGCGATAGAGACCCTCAGGTCACTTACACAAAGAGGATTTTCCCGGATGCAAGAAGCATCCGAGATGGACGAAGGAGCCCCAATCATTAGCACGATAATTGGGCTTTCATCACAGTGATTCTTGCGTTTTCATCAGATCATGTAACCGAAACTGGCTTCGACAATATAGGCCCGACTACGCAATGCCACCAACTCAAGCTGCAAGGGCAGTATTCTGATGTACGCCTATGTGAGACATGGTGATTTCAAAGGTGTTTTTGAGACTGTGATGGGTCTATTGTTTCCGCGGCGCTCGGATGCGATAGAAGCTCGCCTTCCCTGGCTGACTCCAGATGCTCTAGACCCTGGAGAAAAAGGTTCGAGTGTAGGGTTAGAGGCAGGCAGCAAACGCTAAGCTGCCTGTCAAACCCCTGGCCGATCGTAGTTTAGGGAACTTTACATATTCGATTACAGAGCCTTCCCTAGTTTTGGAATAAGAACAAGTAGTCGATAGACCCTCGATGACAAAGTTCCCGTGAGGGGAAAGGTCACAATGGCAAGATCTGTGGCCAAGTGATGTTAGCCTTTGCATCTGGGTTGTCGGCAGTGTCCGTAGCTGGAATCGCTTTCGGCAACATGGCTTGCAGTCCGTTTTGAGAGGCAAAAGTGATTTGCCCTCTTCGGACTTCTGGCCAGTCTGACCACTATCAACAGAACCCCTTCTCATAAGGACATGAACCCTTACAGCCACCACTTGAAAGGTAGTTGGCTTTCCGGTCTTGCGGAGTTGTTTCTGGATCTGTGGGTGCGTCAAATCTGCAATAATTACAAAACCCCAGACACTGAACAAAGAAGCAAGCTAGAGTATGTACACTGAAGTAAACCACACTCACACCTCTATATATATATATATATATATATGATCCCGGTTCTCGGTTCACCGACCCCCCCCCCCCCCCCC